AATAATAATAGTTAAAAGTAAGATTATATACAAAAATTATATTGTTACCTTTAAAAAATGAAAAACAATGTTTGACACTTTAATTTCTCTCTCTCTCTCTCTCTCTCTATATATATATATATATATATATATATATATATATATATATATATATATATATATATATAAATAAAAGAAATAAATCTTAGGAATAGTAAACTTGTCATTTTTTTAATAGAATTGGTCTTTGTATTATTGTTGGGTTTCAAAGTTAGGAATAATAAATTTAGATGTTTTTTGGCAACTTTGCTCATCATTTTTTAATCATTTTGATACTTTTGGTCATTGCAATCAATATTTTTACACTTTTTAAGAACCTTTTAATATTTAAAGTTTGTCCACAAAAATTTAACAGTTTGACAACTTTGATCCATTTTCTAAAAGTTCCTACCTACCCCTTTAATTCTTTAGTCATTTTGACACTTTTGGTCATTGCAGTCAAAACTGTTATATTTTTTCATGAAAACATGAAAAAAAACGGTTCGGGATAAAGCCTGGGCTTTTCATCCTTGCATTTTCTACGTCTGGCATATTTATCGATTCGGAAACAACATTGAAAGCTTTTGGCCCTCGTGTAGCGGGGGTAACCTTTGTAGTTATAATGATAGAAATTAAAATCTTAAGCAGATAAAATTATTAAAATTAATTAATTATAACAATAACTATAAATATCACTAAACCATATATTATGTTTAGTTTTATTCCTGGGTAACCTGCAGGTAAAGGCCATTGATACAATTATGATTATAGAATTTTAAAGATATTTATATTATCATATAATTCAAAACAAACAATGTTTATAGAAACTTATTATAAAATTTATTATATAAGAGCTAACAACAACGTGATTGATATATTTAAAAAACATATATTTGTAAATATTTTAAATATATTATTATATTCTGTACATGGTTGTAGAAATCGGGATTAATCAGCGATTAATCGTGAATTAATCGTTTGGCGTTCTCCAACCGTCGAGGATTAGGGCATCAATCGGGAATTTATGATTAATCGGGTTTGACGGGATTAATCGGTCTTGGCGGGATTAATCGGTCAACAAAAGTCAAAAAATCGAAAAAAGTCAAAAAAGTCAAAAAAATTTTAAAAAAAATTCAAAAAACCAACTTTCTTTTTTTAATCCAAAATTTTCAAATTTTCAAATTTTCAAATATTATACCAAAATGTTCATATTTTCGTATTTCCAAATTTCCAAATTACAATTTCTCTTATTTTCTAATTTTGAAGTACTTGTTTTTCTTAAGATATATTAATATTTAATTAATTTTAATATTTTATTAATAATCTATGGTCCCCATTAATCCTCGATTAATCCCTGCGAAGACCGATTAATCCCTTAGCACTAGTCGACCGTTGAGCTACCGTCAAGCGATTTTTACAACCTTGATTCTGTATAACACACTTGTATTCACCTAGTTTCTATATGAAATACACCAAAATGCTCCTTCAAGATGCCACTTTTAAAGCCTAAAGACAAGTTATGTCACTGCAAGCACAAAGAAGGAACACAGTCCCTCAAAAATAACAAATACTAAGATGATACACATCTTTACAAAAAATATGTAAGGATTATGGAATTGACATTAAAAAATGGACAGAATTAAGGAACTCAAGAAAACATATATGTTGTCTAATGAACTCAAACCAAGCACGAAAAGTCAAATCAGTAACAAGTAATCATCCAGACTTTGACCATCTAAACAAAATCCAAAATAGCAACAATAACAACAAACACCAATATCATTTGACAAGTAATTTCATATTTCCCACAATAAACACAAAAAAAAAAAAAAAGTAAAACAATGTTATTGTAATTCATAAACTTGCTAACAATGATTAAGTACAACAACAAAACATAAAATTGAACATAAAATAAACTTCAGAAAAACGGATTAAAAGAAACTTATAGAAGCATCAATCATCAATGTCTGACTCATCAAGAAGTTTAATGGGTCGAATTTGACTGTGAATAAAAACCTTGACTTTTCTTTTTTGCTTGAATGATGGGTACATCCTCCTTTAAATCATCATCTCAACAAAGATCAACAACTTCACCCTAATTCCAATGTGAAAGAGCTAAAATCCATTTTTTTCATCTCAATTTCTTTTCTTCTTCAGTAGTTAAAGCAGTCTGTAACATTAAACAAAACATCATAAAACTATTAACCATTTATTAAAAGTCGATCAATTTTACCTCCTAAAAAATAATCATTTCCATATCTGATTTATAAGGACTGAAGTGAACAGAAAATTTGATTATCTCCACACTGTCACTTTCATAATCAGATGTGGATTTTGCTATTGAGGTATCAAGGTTGGCCTTTTCATGAATAGCTACAGTTTTCTTCATCATGCAATAAGTTACAATTAAATTCAAATATTAAAGAGCAACAAATTTGCAAACTTCAAAGATACTTAGGTTAAACGATTATTACCTTGGGTGAAGAGATTTTAGACGATTTTACATACATATTTGTTCAAAAGACGGAATCAATTGTCAGGAACATGGAATGAATTAGTGAGAACGCTAACACTTATATAGAGAAGATTGAGCATCGTGGATAATCAGTTATCGCTTTACATGGGAGCAACAAGGAGAAGAGGACTTCCTAGATGGATACATGGAGAAGTGGGAGGTTAATGATGTACTGGGAGGTTGAAGACGATGGTGTGGTTGAAATCGATAACTGCAATTGAACTTGAAAGTACCGCGCTTACACCCCGTTCCCGAGTTGTAGCAAAGAAAAAAAAAGAAGAGAAAGAAAGTAAGAAGAAAAAAAAAAGAAGAAAGGAAACAAAGTTCTCTTTTGTGTTCTCAAGTTGGAGATAAGTGAAAGAAAAATTAAACATTTTATTCTTTAGTGATTTTGTTCGCATTGAAATTGTTGTTGAGTCTGATATGGACCGATCCAGTTCAGTTTCATAAGAAAGTATTGGGCTTCTAGTGATATGACATAACATAAGAGCCACTTAGCGGCCCATCAGAACTGAAGTAAATAGTCTCATACTGTCGTAGTCTCGTTGCAAAATGCTGTTATCGTAATAAAAGCCCAACCCATATTCAAACCCCATTGGCCACTGCCGGTGGTTGTTAATGTTATAACAGAAAATAGAAACCCTAGGTTCTCCAATTTGGTCTCTCTGAACTCTGAAGCACATACGAATTACAATTCAGCGGCATTTGCACCGGCGAACGAAATATTGTCATGGTCAGTTTTCACCATTAATTTCACCTTGAAAATCACTACTATGTTGATATATGAAGTTAACATTCTTATTCATAATCATAATCGCAGGTGAAGTACTCAAAGGAACCGGACAACCCTACCAAATGTTAGTTGTTTGATTCTCTGTTTGTTTTTTTTTAGTACCGATTAGCTGTTTGATTTCTAGGGTTTAGATTAATGTTTGTGTTTGTTGTTGATCTTCTTCAGCTTGCAAAGCAAGGGGATCAGATCTCAGGTGTCATTTTAAGGTGCGCATTGAATATATACCATCTTACTGTTTGAGATACCGTGGTTCCTTTTCTTTTGCTGATATAATTTCAACTTTTCCCTTACAGAACACTAGAGAAACTGCACATGCTATTCGTAAGTTGCCATTGATCAAAGCTAAAAGATACTTGGAGGATGTTCTTGTCCACAAACAAGCAATCCCATTCACACGTTTCTGTCGTGGAGTTGGGCGTACTGCACAGGCTAAAAATCGCCATTCAAATGGACAAGGACGTTGGCCTGCTAAATCTGCAAAATTCATTCTGGATTTGCTCAAGAACGCCGAGAGTAACGCGGAAGTAATAATCTATTCTTCCCTCTTCTGTTTATAAGTTATAATTCTATTCTACTAAAAAATTCTTCTTCTTCTTCTTTGTGTTTAATAGGTGAAAGGGTTGGATGTGGATTCCCTTCACATCTCCCACATTCAGGTGAATCAAGCACAGAAACAGAGGCGGAGGACATATCGTGCTCATGGAAGAATCAACCGTGAGTCTCCTTCTACTACTGCTACTATTTTCTGTTGGCATTTTAAAAGTAAAGTTGTAAAAGTTGTGATAATACTCATTGGACGTGTTGAAAATAATGTTGCAGCCTACATGTCTTCTCCATGTCATATTGAGCTGACTTTGTCAGAGAAGGAAGAAGCTGTTAAGAAGGAGGTTAGTTGCTGATTCCACCATTATCTTTACATAATCTAATTGATACTATAATCCTATCGAAGCTTCCTGTTATCAATTCTTAAATCCTTTGTATCTTGCAGCCTGAGACTCAATTGGCTGCAAAGAAGACCAAGTAAAGTGCCGCATCAGTTTTGGAAGTCTAGTTTGGTATGCTAGATAGAAAGAGTGTCGTTTTTACCTTGAAGAGATTGTACTTTGATATTGGAAGATTTTTGTCTAATGTTCAGTTATGAAATTATAAAGCTAAATGTGATTTACTTGCTTTTTTACTTTTGAAGTTTTTGTTTTTGGTGGAATAGTTACTTTTGAAGTTTTTGTTTTTGATTTTGGGGCCTTGATTTAATCAGTGTAAGTCAACAAATCTACACTTCATTATGCAAATCTTAGAGTGTTTGTGCTAATTTATAACATTTTATGTTTTTTTTTTTTTTTTCTTTTACATAAAAGTGTTTTATTAATTTGTGGTTTGCAGTTGAAACAAAAGGGTTTGAATTAAGTTTACGTGTTATCACAACGAAGTTTGAGAAAAAAAAGTATTTGTATCAAGTGATTAACTATCAAGTTTATGCCATATCAAAACACAATAAAGTTATAAGTTGTTTTAAAATAAAGTTATTTTATGTACTCCGTTTATGTCGTACCAAAACACAATCAAGTTATTGTTTTGTGCACTACATATAAAAAATGCTTATTGTTAATGGTATGAAACTTCAAATAGATAAAAAGTTAAAATTGAAACCACTTATTCAAAATCGTTTATTAGTTGCACCGAACCACAATTAACATAAATTATTTTGTACAATCCAAACACTTTAATTAGCTTATTAGATAAAAATATGCGATCTTCCATTGTTTTATATGTAATAAATAATTTTGAAGACATTTTTCACTTTCATGTATTCCCAACAACTATCTAATTTTCCTAATCATCTCCTCCAATATCAAACACCTTAATATTGGTGCCAAAATCAAGTAATATTTACTTTCTATTTTCTATGAATCTTGCAACAAATTGGGGCTGCCGTAAATATAATTAAGGAATGTTACAGTTTTTAAAAGGATTTCAATTTATAATTTGTTGTGATTTTCGTTTTTGATTTGCAAATGATGTTAGGAGACAATCAAAGATCAACACAAACATAACCATATATATAGCAAAACGTCAACACTGATAGAATCCCTCATGATCAACACAACTGCAAACTACATAAATAACAACTCCACAAAACCATCCTCCTGCATCTTTCTTCTGTCCCACCAAATCAAGCAGGAATTCTGCAATAAGCAAAAAAATAAAATAATAATAATAATAACAATAATTAATTTTTTTTTACCATGAATGAACTTACATATCTTATTGAAGGCCACAATATCACAGCTCTGAACATATTCATTAATTGGCTCTTCAGTAAGCCTTTCTTCAATGATTGTATCAACAGACACCAGGTCATCCACAATTGTCATCATAATCTGGAGCTTCTTAATACCATATCCAACTGGCACCAACTTTGCTGCATTTTCACACATTTTTTTTAAACTTATCATTTATCCAATTACAGAAATTTAAAAACATGGCATAAGTTGATTTTAAGAGAAAAGAAAAAGATTCAACATACATGCACCCCACAGCAAGCCCTCCATTTGAACACTTCTAACAGCTTCCTCAAGCTTTTGCATGTCAGTTTCATCATCCCAAGGCTTCACATCCAACAACACCGAAGACTTCCCAGCTGATTAAGCAATCAAGAACACTGTCAATTTTGCATTTGAAACATAATATTGAAATGACAAGTTTAGCCTTACATTCTTTCTTTTTCCCAGATGCTTTCACTGCAGCTGCACGTTCTTCAGCAGCCTTCTTTTCCTCCTCGGTCTCTTCACCAAAAAGATCCACATCACTATCCTCATCTTCATCAGCTGCAGCCTGAAATTCATATATTTCGTGTCACATATTTTGCAAAAAAGAATTGAAATTTTATATAAACGAGTTGATAAACATGCCTTTGTATCAGCAACTGGAGGAGTTGCAATGGCTTCTTCTGGGAAAGAAGCGGATCCCTCAACAACAACACCACTGCCTTCAGCAGACACACCACTGAAAAAGGAAATTAATCATCAAATACAAGAAGTGGATAAGGAATAATGGTAATAAAAAGATAAAAGGTTTTAAGAACATACGAAATCCTCAAAAGGGCATCGATATGAGTGAACCAACGACATACATTCACATACTGGGGTGATGGGGGTTTTGTGAAAGCTGCATGGACAGTGAGATCATCCTTTGAAGCTTGATACCTGAGGAAAATTAACATTATTTTAAATCTGCATGATGTAAATAAGGATTGAATCAATCCATTTGAAAGAAAAAGTGTTAAGAAACTTACCCTGTGATGTAACTGCGAGACAATAGATATTCATCAAGCTTCTTGAGCCCAGCCTCCGAACCAACATAAAACGTGGGCGCCATTGCTATCTAGTTGCCTAATCTCGTCTGCAGGTAAGCAAAAAGTGAAATATATGAATTACAAATCCGAACATAGCTTTCAATAATCGGATTTATTTCATCTGATCGGAAAATTCACTATGTGTGCATCGATGTTCATCCGTTTATAGCCTAATACTCTAATCTAGCAAAATCTCTTTCGAATTAAACAACAACGACTACAATTCAAGCACACACATCAATATACCAAAACTGCAACTGACGAGCAATTATTCGAGCATGAATTTCCTAGAAACATTGTCCTCATAAACCTCAAAGGGTTCGTCACAAAATGCGCATAAGATAATCACATGCAGTAATTCAAATTGCGCAACGGTTGCTCTAGATTCAAAATCGAACAACAACTACTAACGAGCTCTAAATCGTCGATTAAGGATTACATACCTAGAGGGGAGATCAGGTTGCTGGTCTCTGTTGTGACTGAGTTGAGTAAAGTAATCGGCTATGATGAGCTGAAACCCTAGCCTTGCTTTAAGTTATAACCGGATCACGAGGGAGGGTAAACTTGTCATTTTATTACAATTTCAATCATTTATTTTAGTCAAAATTACATAAATGGTCCCTATGCCATGGGAAAGTAGTCACTTCCGGTTCAACTTCAGAACAAATAGACAAAATTTGTCCTTATGTTTTGTCGATATTGCAGAGATCCTCCTTCTACCGTTAAATCTAACCACAAAGTCATTACTTTTTCAAAAATGACAAGTTTATCCTTAACCAAACAAGAAAAATACTATATATTTATGGACAATTTATGTAACTTAATCCCCATTAAACATAATATTTACCCCCACCATTCGATCGTTTTCTCCACTTCATTTTCATCTTTTTATTTCTTCCCCAATATCAAATTAATACTCATCGATCACAATTATCAACTATAATATCCTTTTCTTTTCTACCATTTAACAACTATTCAACTGGAAGTATGCACTTTCTTAGAAGTTATTCATTCTTGCCAAACAATAATGGTTGTAAATAAATCCTACCCCTTCACTATTAGTGCTTCTTGATTTTAATATATAACACATAAATTTATGGTTATCTCTTCCTTTGATTTTACCTTGAATATATACTCCAAAAGCTAAGGTCCCAAAAATCATAGTATTTTTTTTTTCATTTTTATAGAAATAAAAATAGTTCCAAATAACCATGAGTCATAAAAAACATTGTCTCCCAACATATCATAAAACTATTGGATGATATGTATAATCATGTCTTCGCTTTGCCTCGGCCTTCAGAATTACCTAAAACATTTAAATCCACAACTGTAAGTCAAAGCTTAGTGGGTTTCTCAAAATACATCACACAACAATACACATAGAGTGCATATACAGAAGGTTTGCAACATGAGGCTGGACTGCCATCCACAGCCTACACCATCCAAACCGTGTCGCTCCTTTTGGGCCTATAATATAAACTGGATCGACGGGTCTCTTGGCCTATGACATAAAGCAGGATCGTCTTAACCCAACCATAATATGTCGATATATGCAAATCACAATAACAGCAAAACACATGTAATCATGACATCCTAACATTCAATATCCTAACATACAAAGGAATATCCTAACATACAAAGGATAGATACTATAATACAAAGTATAGTGAAAAAACTCACCTCACAGACAAAAGCAACAATACATACAACTCGTCGCACCTAGTAAATGATATCACGTCCACCTAGACAAATAAGGATAAATCCTTAATCTAAGAATTTAACCCTAAAGTTTGACCTTAAGTCAAACTTGGTCAGAAGTCAATAGTCGAGTCACCATGTCGTGGCCAATATCAAAACATAATGTCTCTTAAATCATAAAACTGTTGGATGATATGTATAATCATGTCTTCGCCTTGCCCCGGCCTTTAGAATTACCTAAAACATTTAAATCCACAACTGTAAGTTAAAGCTTAGTGGGTTTCCCAAAATACATCACACAACAATACACATATAGTGCATATACAGAAGGTTTGCAGCATAAGGCTGGACTACCATCCACAACATACACCATCCAAGTTGTGTCGCTCCTTTTGGGCCTATAATATAAATTGGATCGATGGGTCTCTTGGCCTATGACATAAAGCAGGACCGCCTTAATATAACCATAATATGTCGATATATGCAAATCACAATAACAGCAAAACACATGTAATCATGACATCCTAACATTCAATATCCTAACATACAAATGATACATACTATAATACAAAGTATAGTGAAAAAAACTCACCTCACAGACGAAAGCAACAATACCTACAACTCGTCGCACGTAGTAAACGGTATCACACCCACTTAGACAAATAAGGATAAATCCTTAATATAAGACTTTAACCCTAAAGTTTGACCTTAAGTAAAACTTGGTCAGAAGTCAACAGTCGAGTCACTATGTCGTGGCCAACACCATGGCTATGTCATGGTGGCTATATGCCAAAATAGTCGCGAAAACCCTTTCTGCTACGTCGCGAGAGTTACCTTGTCACTTTGTGGTTACGTCCTATTCAGGTTTATCCATTAAACTCTTAATCCTTAAGCTCAGATCTTGATCGATTAAGGGCATGTATGGATAAAGTTTCCAACTTTATCCCTTCTATATCCTCTACAAGCCTATATCTAAAACCTTAACTCCAAAACAGACCATATGACATAGAAAGCTCATGCATGGTTGATTTGTGATCAAGATACAAACTTTATGGGACCATAAGGTCCAAAAACTAACATAAATCTTATCCAGTGTACATGAATTGCTTCAAACTCCAATGATTTATTTCCAAAAGCCAAAAAGTACTTAATCACATTACAAACAACCTATGTAATGTAAATGTATGAACTTTATACATTATTGATGTGTGATACATCAAAACGAATGTATCATGGAGAACATGAAAGTAAAATCATTTTTCCATTTTTATTACATTTAGAGCTTGAAATTCATGCTCAGAAATAGAAAAAATCTCATTTTTTGAAGTTAGTAAAACTAGTTTTCCAATGTTCTGTACATGTGATTACAAGTTGAATAAACCAAAAAACTTCGTAATTGTGATGACCATTTAAAGAACATCATCAAGGGAGAACATGATATCAAACTTCAGACACTATTGGGGAAACCTTTGTTACATACTATATTGTGTTATGTCTAGACATACTTAATAAGGATGATCAAGGTTAACTTGTGACCATTTATTTTTTCCGTTAAATTAACAAGCTAAGATCGATGTATGCATTTTTTGTTGAGATTTTTGTATTCACCCCAGTACTTCTGACAATGACAAAACTATTAAGAAAAATAATATTGAATGTTTTTTTTTCAATATCGTCATCCACGCCACCGCCCCCAAATTCATTGATTGCCCCTGCCCCGTTCCCCCGCCCCTGGAACAAAAAACAATATAAATTCAAAGTTACAAAGTAAGAAAAATTCAAAGGAACATGAATGATTACGATAAAGTTCCAAAAAACCATAATATATCCAAATCTATCATCTGTTTAGAGTTCCAAAAAAGCACAATAAATCCAAAGTTACAAACCAAAAAGTAATGTATGATTATGATAAGTTCAAAGAAACATCAACGATTACTATAGCACAAAATCATTATACTTTCCATCTTTCTCTTCATCTTCATCAACATTTAAGTCATCACAACTATCCACAAGACTACTTATAAAATGTTATAACAAGCAACAATTAATACGTAAATGATATAACAAACAACAAATAGCAACAAAATGCATACCTTTTTCTCGCCAGATAATCGGTTTTGGGTGCATATGATAGCTTAAATTGTTTTTGGAAGAAGTTTACTACGATGTGGACCAACAATTCTACCACTAGTAGAAAAGGAAGACTCTGAAGCAACAATAAAGATGGGAATAGCTGATATGTCTATTGCAATTACACTTAAAGTAGGATATTTAATAACATTTAGCTTCCACTAAGCTAAAATATCAAAATCATAACTCCTCAGTAAAGTTTTTCACTCTAAGTATAATTCTAGCTCTATTTTTCCACAAATAACACTACTAGAAGAATTCCATGAAAAACACATCTAATGATTTTGTCTCAACTATGTGAGTTGCATTTTCTATACTAGAAGTGGGGACAATATCATAACTACTTGTTTAGCTTACACATCTTGAATCATATTGTTGGTATAAACCCTCACAAATTGCTTTGACATTCAAAAGATGAACTTTTGCTTTATCATATACATAGATAAGAGGGAAAAGGTACTCTAGGATCTTCAACTTAAACCTAGGATCCAAGATGGTAGCCATAGACATCACCCCATAATTGTATTTTCAATACTTATCAAATTTTATAACCATAATTGATACCATTGTACGAACTTCAATGAACTTGGGGTCATCCCATTTCTTTGAAGCTAAATTTATTTCGCAAATCTTAGGGAAAAAAATATTAGTGGTAGGATCTTTTGTTACCGAAAACAATTCTATGAAACTATAAAAGATCTTCAGTCTGTCACAAAGTTCATTAGCCAAATCTCAATCACTTTCATCAGGTAAACTCTTATATTGGGAATCATAATTTTTTAACCTAGAGAAGGTTTTTTATATTTCACAGCAATAGCAAGCAGCAGGTATGTACAATTCCAGCGTGTTTTGCAGTCAAGGGCTATTTTTTCCCACAAATAACACCTGCTTGTTTTGCATTTTGTTCAAATGTCTCCATTTTTTTTTTTGGTGTTGTTATCCAAAAAGAATCACTCTCGCGGACTTTCTCAATCCCCTTATAGGAATCCAACCCACTTCTCACAATTAAGTTTATAATATGCGTCAAACATCGCATATGAAACAACCCTTGACCTAAAATAATCCATTAGAAGGCATTTTTTCTGCCATCAGTTCAATCATGCAATTAGTTGTTGAACAATTATCAACAGTTAAAGTTGATAATTTTCTATCTCAGTTCCACTCCATCAAACAATGTAGCAACGCCTTTGATAGCTTCTCTGCAGTGTGAGGATAAGGCACATATATAAACCTACCAATCAACAAATTAAATTCAATTTAGTAATAAAAACATATTATATTAAGCATATATAGCTATAGATTAGTAATTACCTCAAAAGTCGGCTTTGCAATTTCCATGAATCACCAATGAAATGGGATGTCACGATCATGTATCATTTTCTTTGGTTATTGCAAGTCCACATATTAGATATTATTGTAATACGACCTTGAATACTCCCCAAGAATTGCATTAGCTTCTCGTTTTCCTCATCGTATAATTTCAAGATGTTACGCTTAGCTGTGTTTCTAGTAATAAACTTAAATAATGGTTGAAGCCCTTGACAAAAAGCTCTAAAGCCTTCTTGTTCAACAATACGAAGTGGGTAGTCATGTTGCACTATCATCCTAGCAAGATCCATTCGTGAGCCCTCATAATTAAAACAATGGGTTACTAAAACTAATGCGTCACTTTCGTTCGTCTTAGACTTTTTTCCAACTAAACGACTTTGAAAATCGTCAATTCTTTTTTTGAGATTTCCATGCTTTACATGTGTTTTGGTCACCCAACAAACCTTTTGTTCCAGTGTTGCTACTGTAAGTTAATGCTTTTTTGCAATAAATACATACCGCCTTTTCGACTCCTTTAATTTTTTTTTCAATTCGTAATGAGCCCGTGCCAAGGATCTTAGTCTTTTTTTTTTTTAAATCATTTTCTGCAGCCTGATTTGTAGCATTAGCGGTACCATGAATCGTATTTGAATCATATGGTTGAGTTTGATCAGCTCAACACATGATATTTGAAGCATGTAATTGATTTCAAAACATCATAAAACATTTAACAAATTAAACACAACTAACACTAAGAAACTTCAAGAACATATGAACACTAACACTATTAAATTAATTGTATTTGAATTAGAAAAATGAACAAATTAATGGAACATACTAACACATAATTAAACATTAACAAATTAACCACTACTAACACTAACACTAACAAAGTTCAAGAACAAATTACAGGAACACACTAACACTAACAAATTAGTAACTGTATTTGAATCAAAGAGATGACCAGGAACATACTAACACCAACAAATTTCAAGAATTAAAAAGAAAGTAATGTTTATATTCAATGAAATAAATGATTTGGTGAACATATGAATCTTATATCAAGCAACTAATTTTAAAATAACAACTTTTCAGAAGATGTTATATTCAATCACAAATAATCGATGTTTCATGTATACTGAAGTAAATAACAATTGGTGAGATGAACTGATTAGATAAGATTAGAAGATGTTATACAAACCTGACTTTAGTGAGATGAGAAATGGATTGCATGCTAAGGAATCACTAATGAAAGGATCGATGGCTAACGAGTCGACGCCTAAAGATCCGGCGACGATTGGTGGGCTTACGGCGACCAGCGACGGCGTGAAAGTGAAGTACTGAAGCGATGATGAAGGATTGAAGGTCCACCGTCGCTTGGAGTCTTGAGAGAATAAGATGTAGAGTGACGGAGTCAGAAGTGGGAATTGGCCACTCAGAAGGATCGATCAACAAAGAAAATAGATTGAAGCGTCATCTATTCATTACATGATTTACCCTAAACGGATTGACAACTACAATACAATAAGGTCTTGTTTGTTTTTTCCAAAGTGAAACTGTCTGAAGTCTGCGAACCACTTCTACAAACATTTGCAACAGAATAGGTGGACCAAACGACTGCAGACTATAATGAGAAGCGTGTTTGTTTTTTTAACATCTGTAGACTGCTGCAGATATTAAAAAATTTAAAATAAAATGATTTAATAAACCGAAAATAGTTTTTTAAGACAAAAAATTTAATAATTGTTGTCATAAAACGTTGAAATAAAATTCAAACAACCAAATTAGTCTTAAAATAACATTTTAAAATAAAATTCATACAACCAAACTTTAATAATTCTCATTCCATATATTGCATCCATTGTTCGACAATTTCATCCCATAATTGGGCATATATTCACGGTCCGCTGCAGTACCGTGTGTTGGAATATAATATTCTTCATTATCAATGACTACATTGTTATTCCGAACCGAGACATTTGGTTCATCATATTGTGCAAAATACTCATCACGTAATCCCTCTCTTCTTATAAAATTATGAAGCGTGAAGCATGTAAGAGTAATGTTTTGTTGTGTTACCAACGAGAATGGTTTCATCATCTTCAATACAGGGAATCATGCTTCCAAGACACCAAAAGCACGCTCAATGACTTTCTGAAGTTTTGCGTGTGCATGATTAAATTTTTCTTTATTTCTTAATGCACAACTTCGACGAAAATCTCCAATCCAATATCTCACATTACGATACGGTGTCATAAAACCTTGAATGTTTGCATAGATGACATCACAAATATAATATTTATCTGTAAAAAAACAAAAAAAAATCATTTATTTTTCAAACTAAGATAAAACTATTTAAATAACCATAAATTTACCTGATGGTGGAAACGGAAATGGTGCCTATGGATTTGCTAATGTTTTTGATAAAATTCTCGAATAATGTGCTATCTTTTCCCAACCGGCCACAACAAACGTAAACATAATGTTGAAGTCACATATTGCTAATGCGTTTTGGTAATAATTGCCTTTTCCCCTACTTCTATATAAATCTCATTTGTTTGCGAGGACAACAACATGTATCAAGGTGCCATCAAGTGCACCAACTGCTCCTTTGAACACCCTTCGTAACCTTATATTATGTCCTGAAATGTTTGGATTCAGATTAAAAGAAGTTGGTACTATAATGGCATGTGCTAAAAAAATATTTTGTCTAACACTTCATGAAAAGATTTATGAATTGTTTGCTTTGAGTGTTGAAATCTTCGTGTGATGATCACATATCGTTGGTTATGACAGATCATCATAAAAAACATATCAATCTTTTCCTCAACTGATACATGTTTGCTATCATCTAACTCGCAATTTACTCTAAAATGCGCATATAGTCGGACAAATGATTCGCGAGACATGTCTTTTTGAGACATGCATAGTACTTCAACACATTGTAGATGATTGCGCTGAAGTAACTCTAACATAAATTTATGTCCCGTCATTTCCGAATCGTTGTCCCGTACTCGTTTCACACCCCTCTTCCAAAAGCAGCGGATGTACAAGTACATTAGAATTATGAGAAGTATTTTTTTTTTGTCGTGATCCATTAGGAACCTATTAATCAACACAAGTACAAAATAAAAAAAACATAAAACTCAAGTACAAAATAACATAACCAAATAACCAAAATACATAACCACATAGTTCAAGTACAAAATACTGCAAATAACATTCAAGTACCAAATAACTACATACCGCAAATAACATTCAAGTACCAAATAACCAAAAAACATAACCACATAACTCTAACACATGCAATTAAAACCTTAACAATTATAATATGTAAACTTAACAAACAATCTTTCCATCCTTCAATACTCCTAAACTTGTAGTTGTCATTTCGATCCATCCTCTTAATATTTGTGGATCATTAGGCAAATTTATCCACATCTCTCTCATATTCATGGTCCCTCTAAAAATATGATAAGCAACAAATCGTAGAGGGTCTACTGGGCCTAACTCGAGTAACTCTAGCTTCTCTAAACATTGGGGAATTGTTGGCCCTTGAGTAAAATGTCATAGAGCTTTCTGCATCTCCAATGCTAAATCATCAACAGTAATAGAAGCTTTAGGGGAGGCACTAGAAGGTTGCTTAAGTGAGACACTAGCAACTCGAGGTCTAGGATTTGAGAGTTTAGCTCTTTTGTTGGGGTTACCAGAAGGTGAAGCAGCAGAAGGTGGTGGCTGAGTAGTATGATTGGAAAAGAAATCATCCTCATCTATGTTAACAGAAGGGGTGTCCATAAGTTGTAGTGGTGCGACATGGAAAGAAGATGATCCATGTCTCGATGGTGTTTGGGATGTGGCGTAACTGAGATTATCAGAGGCACTATTTCCATCAAAGAGTTTTGCACAAAGTTCTCGAAACAACAATGAGAAAATTTTCAAAGAAGTGGCTTTCGGATGTCCCTAAACCCAATTAATGTAACAAAAGTAGTATAAGAATAAATGGCAACTATATAAACAAAATACATAATAACATGTGTGTGTGTGTGTATATATATATATACACATACACACACGCATATATATATATATATATTTAAAGTCTCATTCCTCATTTGTTAAGTTAAAAGTGTTTGTTTGAGGATTGTATAACTACTAGAAAAATAGCCTTTTACGACGCGCGAACCATGACACGCAGTGATTTATGATATGTAAATGTGAGTGTCCAAAAAATAATGTTATCTCTTCCAAAATTTAAAGGATTTCAGACGCGCATTTTTGCGTGCCCTAAAATTAGTGTCTAAACAAAAATAATAAAAACACGGAGGGCACCTGCGTATCGTCTAAGACCGTCGCTTTATAAATTTTAATAGAACGCGCGCTCCATCCCAGGAAAATGAAATCTCAAAAACTTAAAATCCCCACCTTCCTTTTTTTTCTCCCTCCACTTTAGTTTCCCTAGTAGCTAGGGCTTTTTTTCAAGAACTTGCCCTGATCGCCCTCCTGTACTGCTCTCTCTTCAACTTCCCTTTCTCTCCTTCTCAGTTCGACAAACCCTTTCTCTTTTTCTCAGTTCTCGACGTCGACAGCTTCTCCCACCTCCGACGTTTCTCTTGGTGTTGGCACCTCCCACCTCTGACCTTGGTCTAGCCCCGCCCCACCGTCCTACGCTTTCTAGCAACACCCAGCCGATGGAGCCCCTCCTCTCCATCAATCTTACCTCGCCTTCCCTTGCTAGCAACATTAGGTCCGGTGACCTTAGGGTCACTGCTTCTATTGCTCAAATTTACAAGCCCTATGTCTTAATAAGGTATTTTTTTCTTGATTCTAACTTCTCAATGTTTTCGTTCTTCTATAAGAACCCTAGCTTGCTAAATCTCTTTTTCTTTCCGGCTTAATTTCTCTCTATTTCATTTACGATCCAAGGAACAAACTTCCGATATTTGGTGAAACTAACAATCGATGATGTGTGATTAGGTGAAATAATATACTAGGGTTAACTAGGAACAAAGACACATGGAAACGGGAAAGGGTATGAAAAAGAAACACACAATATGTTTGATTAGGTGAAATCATCGGTTTTGGCAATTTTCTTGCCATCATTGTTACTACAGGAAAGCTTAGCTGGCAGGAGGAGTCGCTTCACTTTGGCGGGGTCGTCAAGGGAAACGTGAAGTCCGTTCAAGAATAAAGATCATAACCTGTTAAGAGGAGAGTTCCTTCATGGAGGTGCAGTTCTTGATTGCTGCTTTCATGATTATACATCTGGTTTTAGTGCTAGTGCAGATAACACTGTCACAAGGTATGACTAAATGATGCATATACTTTCTTGGATTATTGACTTATCTTTTTCTTGACTAAGTTTCAAGCTACATTCCTTTTACATCTCTCAGGCTTGTTTTTGACCACGAAAAGGAGGATCTTTTGGGATGCCATGATGCCCCTGTTCGCTGTATCGAGTACTCTTATGCAACGGGTTAGTGTCACATTCATTTCATCATTTGTTTTCATTTTGCTAATATCATCATACATTCATACTTTCGTTTCCTTCTATTACATCATTGTGTTTTCAATTCTTTTTCTTGTTGGTGGTTTTTAGGGAAAGTGATTACAGGGAGTTGGGACAAAACTTTGAAGTGTTGGGACCCACGTGGTGGAGGTGCACAGGAGCGTGCAATGGAGTTTTTTGATGCAATGGCACCAATTATTTTATGTTTGCAGTATTTCTCATAGCTTTTAGTATAATTTATCACATTCAAAATAAGTCTCTTCAATCACAAAAACCAAATTGTGTTCCAAAATCTCTTTTTTCTCTTTTCTTCAAAGTTTGGGAGTGCTTGATGAGGAATAATTTTGAATTTTCAATGATCATATGTTGCGTAGTTAGTACTATTTCATCTTCATATCTAAAATAATAAACAATACGAAAATTTAGCATGTGATGTATCATGTAGGTGATTAGTTTAGTGTAGGATCTTCTTTATGGAGATGTAGAACATTACTATGTGTGATATGATCTGATCATCTGATAGATAGACTAATGATTGCTTGTTACTCGGTTTGCATAGGTGAAGGGAAGTCAAATCATCTTTTATGCGGGTAAGGTGGCAAAATCAAGGAGCCTGAAATCTTTAGGAGCCACTACACATCTTAATTTTTCAGGTTTTCCTCTGAATAACAAATCATCTTTTATAATTACTATTTTATATTTCTAATAATAATGATAATAGGATTAATGTTCTTGATTCTAATTGCAACAGGACTTGTTCCATTAGCTGCTTTTGGATGGGTGAAGATTATGATGATGAGAAACCATTGTCTTCAAAATATACTTCCAAGTCCAAAGTGGGATCATCTAATAATCATAAACCAGTGGTTCCCAAAGTTCATCAAAATGGTTCTGCATCAAAGGATAATAATCAACTGAGGAATATTGGGTTGAATAAGAGACCAACATATGAGGAAAGATCTGCTTCTGTTAAAAAGCCAAAGCTTTCTGATTTTGTAACCCCTATCAACCACAAACCAGTAATGTGCTCTCATTTATTTTTTTTATTATAGCTTCTAATTCCACATCATATTTTTCTTTACAATAAATGAATAGGAAATACTAATGTGCTCTCATTTATTTGTTTATTATAGCTTCATACTTTCATTGCTTTCTATTACATTATTGTACCTTGAGTAGATCTTTCAAAGTACAATGTTCTGATAAAAAAAAGTTTTGAAGCAAAATGTTGTAATCATGTAGATTCTTTGAAGTACATTGTCTTCTTGAAACTACAATGCTGTAATAGAATGAAATGAAAGTAAATTGCTATACTAAACAAATAAATAAAAGTGTGTTGCTTTTTTTGTTTTCTGTTTAGTCCCTTGAAGAAAGAAACTAGTTGGATGTAAGCATGATCATCATATTCTTATTTTACACATTTACAGGTTGCAACAATGTTTTCAGTGATGTTTGACACAGATTACATGGCCAAACTTCAGTTCAAAGACAATTTCTAGGGTGACTGGAGAAAGATATTCGGAAAAAACCACACAATTTAGAATTTGGAAAACTGTGATTTCAAACCAATATATGAGTGACATCAGGCTGAAAAAGAGAAGAATAAGCTAATGACAACAGAAGTAAGTTACTTAAAATTTCTTCATTTTTTTTGGTATTATCAGCAACTATGATAAATATTTATTTATTGTTTTTGTTCTTCAAGATTCAACCTATTTCCTCATTAGTAATGAACATTTAGCCATCTTTGTTTTGTAATTTATCTAATGTATGAGGGTATTAATGCAAGAATTAATTTTTGTAGGAAAAGAATGCCATAAAAGACGAGAAAATGAAGATAGAAGAGAAATATATGTGGGCATCTCAAGAATGATAGAACCCATTAAACCTCCATCGCTGGCGCCGCCTTCCCCTCCGCCATTATTGTTAACCCTCTTGATTTGGCTAAAGTACGTAATTTCTCTGTTTCCCCCTTTTCCTCTGCACCACCTTTACTTTTCTCTTCATTTTTTTTTCAAGCCTCTTTGGTACCCTTTTTTGTACGTCTCGCACAAGGGCTTTGTTACAAAACATACACCAAAAATAATTCTTTTGTATCAATTTTTATTAAGGGTATCCAAATATTCAAGTTGATAAGCAACTGTTTTTGACATACAAACTCAAATTTAGATATCATTCTCCTTTGAAAACTATGTATTGCTTATTAATGTTGCTAACTTGTTGTTCATTCTCGTTAACTTCATATTGGGTGTTGATAACCATGGTAATGATTCTTCATTTTGTGTATGGTTGTGATTTGACAGACAAGGCTGCAAGCACAGGCTGCTGGTGTAACATACTCGCATCCAATGACTAATCTTATGAGTCGAATGGCCGTTTTTGGACCAAACATGGTATGTTTGCTTTGTAATATTTGTTAGAATGGTGTGCAATGTTGATAATCATGTAATTGTTTGTTTTAGATGTTTGCGGATCTAAGATGTTCTCCATCATGTACGCGTGCTGGAGTACCTGGTACAGTGTCCATCTGTCCGCCAGATTGCTTTGAGTACAAAGGAACACTTGATGTTTTCTACAAAATTATTTGGCAGGTTGGTCATCTTCTTCCTCTTATATATATATTCTGTAGTCCAACACTTTTCTAATTGTTGATCATTTTAAGATTTGTGAGTGTCTTTTCAGGAGAGATTTGGAAGATTATGGTGAGGCACCAATGCTGGCCTTTCATTGGCTATAACAACTGTAAGTCCCTGATTTTTTTTCTTTTTCTTCCATTAATGAATGCTTAATGTTAATATTTTGTTTGAACAGATGGGAATCTATCTTCCTTGCTATGACATCTTCCGAAATTGGTTTGAAGAGTTTGCAGCTGAAAATGCTCCAAGCATGACATTATATGCCCCTTTGTTGGTTGGATCATTGTCACGCTCATTGGCTTGCACTACCTGTTATCCTATAGAACTTGCTAGAACCCATATGCAGGTTGTTATCAACAATACTTATTTTTATCTTATCATCTAACTCTACTCAAATTTTACTAATCTTTGATTTTTGTCACCACATAGACATTTAAAGACTTCAACACTGGTAAGAAAGCTCCGGGAGTGTGGAAGATGTTACTGAATGTGAAGAACAATGGTAATCTAGACATAAAGTTATTGCACTGAATGGGATTTTAATAATTGAGTTTATAAGACATTGATTACTTAAGGGTATTTTAGTAACATTGTAAGATATTGATTACTTGAGGGTACTTATGGTATATAATGAATAATGTAATCATATGTATGAATATGAAATAAAGTTGGTTATTTAGTATGTGATAATCATGTATAGGGAGAAAACAATTGCTATTGATTTGTTTTATCTTTCCATGGATCGACTATTTGTATGACATTAAATTTTATGCAATGGATTGTATTTTTTGTATATGGGATTTTATTGTTTGTTATGAGATATTAAAAGCAAATTTAATTTGAAAAATAGTAAATCTACAAATAATATTTTTTTTAAACATTTAAAATTATGATACGCAAAAATGTGTGTCATCTTCATTTATGACATGGCCTTTCTTGATAGGGGCTTCCTTGATACGCATTGTGTGTCATAAACACGCGTGTCGTAAGGTTACAACACGCAAATGCGCGTCGTCTTCCTTTATGACAGGGCCTTCCTTGATACGCATTGCGTGTCATAATTGTGCGTAATAAATGCGCATCGTCTATAGACGACGCGCAAAAGCGCGTCGCCTCTCTTTATGATAGGGCCTTCCTTGACTCGCATTTGCGCGTCGTCTGAGCGTTTTACGACGCGCAATGAGCGTCGTAAAAGGCTGTTTTTCTAGTAGTGACGTAAAGGTTGTCGGTTTTGTTTTTCAAATATAATCATCCCGTGTATTTGGCTTTAAGGTTATTATAGGTGTTTTTCAATTGTCTTCAACTCAAATCCACACCAAACTTTTCCTTAATGCCTGTTCCTAATTTGTACCATGAATGTTTGTGCAAACTCAAACCTTTTCTACCCACAAGCTGTAATTCTTCAATACAAGTGTTTAATAAGAATTTTGTTTGCTCATTGATCCATGTATGTTTATCTGCCATTGCTAATAAAAAAATGTATGAAATACATACTTTAGCAAATATAACCTTATACCAACAACTTTCAGCATAACAACTTCTATTGATTAAAATAACCAACTTCAGCAAAGATTATTCATATTTCAGCAACAATTATGACACTTTAGCAACATTTTATGACATTTGAACAATATTTCATGACATTTCAACAACAATTTATAACAATTAAACAACAATTTATGACAATTCAGCAACAATTTATGACAATTCAACAATAATTTTATGATATTTTAGCAATATTTCATGACAATTAAGCAACAATATGTGAATTTTAAGCACAAATTGACGACATTGTAGCAAGAACTTAGCATTTATCAAGATAGAAACAACATCATCAACTATTTGATAATATTAGTATCAAGATTAAGCAAGAACAAAGATTCAACAACAAAAATCGAAAAATTAATGTCAAGCCTGAACAATGAAGTAATTCCACCAACAAAATCGAAATGTTGAATAACCCCAAGCAGATGCGATGCCTTCAGCAGCAAAAAACGAAAAAAAGGAAAAGAAAAGAAAAAAACCATACCTGCGATGAGGGACTGCCATAAGGGGGCTGCGCTGGTGGTGGATGTGCTAGGAGGAGGAGTGTGGTCGACGAAAGGTGTTGTGATCGACTTCTTGGAATGAGAAGCTGTGCGAATGTGTCGGCTTTTTTTTTTTTTTTTTTTTTTTTTTTTTTTAGGTTTAGGTTGGTTTGAAGAGGTTAGAAGTAATTTTCAAGTTATGTCCCAAGAAAAGGACGGGAAGATGTTTTTAACTTCGAAGTCTGCGAAAATACAAACAATTGCGGAATAGAAAGTGCTGCGTGTGTGCTGCGCCGCGCAGCACAAAAAGGTTTTTAATAAAAAACAAACACCGCCTAAGTCAATATTTGTGTAAACATGTAATTAATACATATAGAATTATAAATATATACAACATATTAACGGGGACCCCATAGGTTTTTCAGGACGGTACTACCCACCCCGCCCCCAACATCAAAACGAGGTTAACTTTGCCCCCACTCCCGCCCCCGTCTCCAAATTTTTTAAACAACTACCCCTCATACGGGATCGATCTTCACATCTATCGGAAATTGATCAAAACATATGTTAGAAATCATCGATCTCAATATCCTAGATGATTGAGATCGATGGCGACATATAGATGAAGAAGAAGATCGACATATTCAGTCGATTTGAAACCCTAATCGATGGAGATAATCATGTTTGTGAAACCCTATGTTCATGGATGTGAAGGAGGTCGAAGAAAAATATGCACTCCGAAATCCATGTAAAACCCTAGTCGTCATAGGCTTTCCACTTCAATTCCTCATTGGTGCTCCTTCTCATTCTTCTTTCTCTGGCAAAGACACCACTCCTTCTTCCTTCTCCTGCTCATTATTTTTCGATCGTCGTTAACCCACAATTGATAAACACTTCGTCACCCATCTAATACCATCAATGAGTTGTAGGTCTCCTCTTTACCCTCATCGAGTCAGTGTCTTTTTTTTTCTTTTCTCGATCAGTAGCATAGTGAAATGGCGGGGAAGGTTCGTCGGAGGATTGCCAGTGATTGTATGTGCGTGTTTATGTTTCTCTCCGATTGGTAACAGTGAAAGGTGGATGGGTTGGGAAAAGTGAAGGTGATGGGGTATTTATTATTATTATTTAACTGAAATGATAATATAGATAAAAAAATTAATTGAAAATAAAAACACAAGGGTATAATGGTCATTTAAATTATGGCAATGACTAAGTTTGCAACAAAATTATCTGTCAGTGATGAAACGTGCAATGTTAAATCGAACGAGAGACGGTTTGAATTAATTTTTGAAAATAGAAACTAAACACGCGATTGGACGTATACACGAAAAACAATTGGTATAATTTACCCTAAAAAATGGTTTTTATATCATTGGCCATGCGTTCAATAATACAATTCGACAATCTGAAAGTCCCTATAAAATATGGATGAATAAATATTTGGGATAATGACTTGAAAGGGTAACGAACTTTCGACTTTTGTCACATTTAGTCACTAAACTTTTTTTCGTTATCTATTTGTCATTGAACTATTGAAAAAAAGTTTAGTGACTAAATATGAACAAAATCGAAAGTTCGTTTCCCTCTAAAAAGTTCAATGACTAAATGTGAATAAACTTTCTCTTGTATTATGTTTTAGCAAATTATTTATTTTTGTTAAATTGTAGCAACATTTGTTGATGAAGAAATCTATGAAAAAAAAAAAAAACAGAACCCTGAAAATATATTTAAAAAAAAAAACAAAAAACCAAAACCGAAATAAAAAACTAATGGTTTGACATTTTCCAAAATAAAAAATCAAAATTTCCAATCTGATTTTGGTTTTACAAAAAAATGAACCATTCTCACTGATGTGAATTATGACCATTAGTTTGGCATGCGGAATTTGTGACATCCCACGAATATGTAGTTACAACATCGTCTGAACTCGTAATTCATAGTAAGGGGTTAGAGTATCATCACATGAATACGTAGTTACAACATCTCCTGAACTCGTAATTCATCACCTACATGTTATGGGCATGCTGGTGTTTCCACTGGGTTGTCTAGAATAGTTCGTGGTCGCCATCTATACTCTGGTAGATGACTACATCGCCACATTGTCGGTTAAGGTTATGGTATCTCCTTTCATCCTATATCACATATTCATCATCATTTATTTACCTAATTATCATCACCTTTCTATCATCACCTATCTCTCATCATTTTATTTCATCACACACCAACTATTTCATCTACCCATGTTTCATCTGCAACATATTTGTAGATATAAAATAAATATACCGTTTAAATATTTTAAAACATGTATAAAATCGTTCATCCAGCATAGACAACAAGTATTCAAATAATATGCACACATAGCACGTAATTCATATAAAATACTTCATATCTACGTGTAAGATGAAAATAACTATATATACCATAAAAATACCATAAATGCTTCCTAACTTCGAACCCCAAGGTTTACTCTACTAAAGCTTCATATTCTTGACTATCTGGACCTAGAAGGGTCCAGATCTATCACACCAAAAAGCTCAACCTAGCTCTTCCTTTCACTCTACACACTCAAGCTCGATAGGGTTTTCACTTATGGGAAAGGTAGTCGCAATTGAAGGCCATAAGTGCCTTTAAATATGGCTCGGGCCCAAAGATTTAGGGTTTCTGCCAACAATGCGGACTCGTCGAGTCGCCTCACCGACTTGTTGAGTCCATTCATTAATCCGAGTCATCAGTCGCGACCTTACTCGACGAGTTGAGGCGTCAACTCGTCGAGTCTCTCTTCTCAACTCAAAAGAAAAATACTTAAATTATGATACCTGGAAATCCGGATGTTACATTTTGTTTTTTGATTTCATAGATTTCTTCATCAACAAATGTTGCTACAATAAAACAAAAATAAATAATTTGCTAAAACATAATACAATAGGAAGTTTGTTCACATTCAGTCATTGAACTTTTTAGAGGGAAACGAACTTTCGATTTTGTTCACCCTTATGACCGGTAATAACCGGTCATAAGGTAACATATGAACAGTTTCAATAGTTCAATGGCAAATAGATAACGAAAAAAAATTTAGTGACTAAATGTGACAAAAGTCGAAAATTCCTTATTATAGTCATTATCCCTGAATATTTTCCTGAAACATCGGGGCTTAAACCCTAAAAAGCGAACGGCTCCCCTTGGCAAAAACCCTATTTTCATTGTAAACCCTTACCACTGACGGACGTAGAGCTTCTCGTCTCCAATGGCGTTGTATCTTCTCTACGAATCTGCATCTGGATACGGACTGTTTTTGGCCCACGGTATTGATGAAATTGGGCAAAACACAGAGGCTGTTCGTAATTCAGTAGTCGATCTTAATCGATTTGGAAAGGTTGTAAGGATTGCCGCTTTTAATCCTTTTGAATCAGCGCTTGATGCTCTCAACCAGTGCAATGCCGTCTCTGAAGGTACTTGCATAAATGCATAGGTATTCGTTATTTGAAATGATTTCGTTCGGTTAACATGTGGAGGCTGATGAAATTTCTGTGCGATTCTTCATTTAATCGAAAGTTGCAAGTTTCTCGTGTTCCTTCCATTTTCACTGAGATATATATAACAACACCTTCATTGAGATCTGAGGGTCACTTCTTTAAGTAGTTTTTTTCTTTGTTTTTGTTTAGGCCAAATGACAGAAGAACTGAGAAACTTCTTGGAGCTCAGCCTTCCTAAAGTCAAAGAAGGTAAGAAACCAAAGTTCAGCTTAGGAGTAGCCGATCCAAAAATTGGGTCTCACATACAAGAAGAAACCAAGATACCCTGCCAAAGCAACGAGTTTGTTCTCGAGCTCATTCGAGGCATCCGTTTGCATTTTGATAGATTCATCGACAATCTCAAGGTTTGCTTGTTATCAAATCACATAGTTTTCTGTTGTCCAAATTAACTATGCTTTCTTCAAATACATATGATATGATCACAAAGACTGATGCTTTTCTCAAACTTACACAGCCTGGTGACTTGGAGAAAGCTCAACTTGGTCTCGGCCATAGCTATAGCAGGGCAAAAGTCAAGTTCAATGTTAACCGTGTTGACAATATGGTTATTCAAGCAATTTTCCTTCTAGATACTCTTGATAAAGATGTCAATTCGTTTTCCATGAGAGTCAGGTTTGCTCAGCTCACTCCAATCCAATCTTTTTTTCCTAGCCCTTAGTTATAAGTTAGAATGTCATCGTAATTGCCATTTGTTTTTATGCAGAGAATGGTACTCATGGCATTTTCCTGAGCTAGTCAAGATAGTGAATGACAACTATCTGTATGCTAAACTTGCAAAATTTATAGAGGACAAATCAGAGTTATCAGAAGATAAATTATCAGGTCTAGTAGATATACTTGGTGATGAAGATAAAGCAAAGGAAGTGGTTGAAGCTGCCAAAGCATCAATGGGTATGGAATTATGGATAGGATTATATAATTATGCAACAAAAGAATAAGATTCATTCTTGATGTAATTGATGTTATTTTCAGGGCAGGATTTGTCACCTGTTGACTTGATCAATGTCAAGATGTTTGCTCAGAGGGTAATGGAGCTTGCTGAGTATAGAAAAAAGCTATATGATTACCTTGTTGCTAAAATGAGTGATATAGCACCTAATTTGGCTGCATTAATTGGTGAAGTTGTTGGAGCTCGTTTGATATCTCATGCTGGTAGCCTCACAAATCTCGCCAAGTGTCCTTCATCTACCCTTCAAATCCTTGGTGCTGAAAAGGCCCTTTTCAGGTCATTTTTATTTAACACTTTTTTTATTTACTTACAAAAAAAACGAAGTCTAAAATCTAAATCAAGTTTTGAATGTTTCAGGGCTTTGAAAACTAAAGGGAACACTCCAAAATACGGGCTTATTTTTCATTCATCTTTTATTGGACGTGCATCTGCTAAAAACAAGGGTCGAATGGCTCGATATCTAGCAAACAAGTGTTCTATTGCTTCTCGAATCGATTGTTTTTCAGGTGAGTTTAGGATTCTTTTAGAAGATTTTTTTTTTGTTTTGTTTTGTTTATATGTGTTTGTGGCTAATAATTTTGTTTTCTTGATGTTGATAGAGAAAAGTAGCACATCATTTGGTGATAAACTTCGTGAACAAGTTGAGGAGCGGCTTGATTTTTATGATAAGGGTGTTGCTCCTCGTAAAAATATTGATGTCATGAAAGCTGCTATGGAAAATGATTTAAATCAAGGTTAGTGTGAAAAATACTACTTCATATATTTGATTAGGGTTTTATAGTCAAAGGGGTCGAAACTTTTTGGTTAGGGTTTTATGCTATTATAATGAATTTCCATTTTGTTTGATGTATTTGTTTTCAGATACAGAAATGGAGGTGGAGAATGTTTCATCAAAGAAAAGCAACAAAAAGAAATCTAAAGAGAATGAGGCTAGTGATGATGGTGATAAAGAAAATACTGCTGCAAATGGAGAATCTAAATCTGAAAAGAAGAAAAAGAAGCGATCACTTGAAGAAAGATTAGAGTCCAATGGCAAAGAAAATGGTGAAGAAACTGAAAAGAAGAAAAAGAAAAAGAAGAGCAAAGTCGTTGAGATAGTTGATGCTCCTACTGCTGTTAGTGAAGGCAAGAAGAAGAAGAAGAAATCATCTGTAGAGTGAAGAAGATGTGTAGATCTGAATTTAGGGTTGAATTGTGTTGTTTCCTAGCCAATAACAAGCTAGGTGACTTCACATCGAATTTTGTTGCAACTTTGAAACTTATATTTGTGAGATTTTTGGGTTTATGGTGAATCTTTGGTATGCTATCAACTTTTTGTAAACATATACTATAGACTTGATCTCTTAACGATTTATATGCTTACTAATGAATATTTGGTTGGCTTTGTCAAGTAAACTACAAAAATAATGACTTAACATAACTACTTTGAAGCAAGGTTTTCATCATTAACAATCTATGCAACTTTAAAACCAAATGTTACACTAGTGCAAAACCAAACTACCGTTTATGCATGTAACATAAGATCAGGAATTGAAAAAAGTAGACTTCAAGGTTTTTTATTTTTTTATTTTTTTTAAAACCATAAACCAGTTATTAAATGGACCTAAATGTCAACAGCAATCTTGGCATCAAGAGCAGTGAAGTCTTCAAAGAAAGCCTTCAAATGGTGATAAGAATGGTTGACGTCATCAACTGCACACATCTCTCTTATACTGTGCATCGACAATTGTGGGGCCCCAATGTCAACTGTACGAATCCCAGTCCCACTTGCTAAAATGGGTCCAATGGTTGACCCGCATGGCATGTCATTTCTAACAACAAAATCCTGCATTACATTCACACATACAACTTTACTTCATTAGCTCACTATCAATACAAAATTAAAGCCCAAAATACATAACAAGCACTTGTACAGTTGTACTCTCACCATTTTATTGATTTAGCCACTCAACTATAACAATAATTATAATAACAGCACAAATGCATAAAAAATTACCAACCTGAACAGGAAGGTTTTTGTTGGCTGCTATTTCCCGGAATATAAATGCAGTAACAGCATTAGTTGCATATCGTTGGTTTGCATTGTGTTTAATCACAAGCCCTCCATGCAACTTAGGTTGATGATTCTCTTCATGCTTGTCCTGAACACCCACATAAATCAAAATTTTCTTAGGGACCATATCCGTAATTTCCACCATACCACAGGGACGACTTTTGTAATTTCCACTAAATAGTCAATGAAACACTAACCATATAATTTGGATGCAAGGCATGCGCCATGTCTGCAGAAACCAGGAAACTTTTCTGAATCGCCTTTTCTAGCAACTGCACAAAATTTAATGCAAACAATGTATCAAAAATCAACCTAACAAAACTTTCAGTCATTCTTTCCAGACTAAGTTAAAAAGAAACCTGTGAATCTGAGGAAAAGAAGGTTGTGATGCGAGAGAGAGCATCAAACATGACTGGAGATCCAGCTCCTTGTGCTGAGCTGGATCCAACCTCTTCATGATCAAATAATGCCACCATTCTTACACCAGATTCATCTTCAATGCTTTTTTCTGACACTGTGGCATCTATTAACGCCTGAAAATCAATCCAATACCCGAATTAGAAACCCTTTAAGCCATTCTGTCCAGATTAAGTCAGAAAGAAACATCTCCTATTAGTCTTACCTTCAAAGAGCAGAAAGACATACAGAGATTGTCAAGCCTTCCAGAGAATACAAACTCCTTCATTGCACCAGCAACTATACTTGGTTGAGTGTCACATGCTTGCAACTCAAAATCACAAATCTCATCAGGTTTACACCCTGCCTTATCTGCAAGAATCTACCAAAACAAAAACCAACAATCACTACATATATATAAAGATTGATACAAATTTAAATAAATAAATACCTGAAGAAGAAGAGAATGATGCTTCTGGATACCGGAACTGTTTAGACTTTCATTAGGCTTCCCATCAGGACCATTTTCAGCAGCTGTTTTATTGAGCTCAGCCTGACAAAAGCTCCAAGATTTAGTGGTAGAAAGGTGAAATTTTAATGTTATATTTAAATAGAGTAGTAAGATATTATTACCTTAACTGCAGTTGCTAACACAGGAGCAAGATGAGTTTGTGCATTCACTTTAAATCCATCATTAACACCTCGATCCAAGTGAATTGCTAGGGTTGGAATTCGCATTATAGGCTCTTCAATTCTGACAAGTTTGTGTGAGTAAGATGCAGAATCGCCTTTTCCTTCTTTGATAATCATTCTTCCAGCAATAGTTAAGTCACGATCAAACCATGTATGCCATAAGCCACCTCCATAAGTCTGAACACCAATTTCCAAATAACCACCTTTTGATACCTAATTAAGATATATCAGATAATATCAGTTCAATCCCCATAGAAGATCCATAACTTTTGTAAAAATCAAAGAAAGGTTACCTTTGAAACAGGCTTCAATTTAAGACAAGGACTGTCAGTATGAGCACCAACTATGTGGAACCCATTTCCAGCAATGTATCTAAACAACAAGATGAACATTAATAACCATCACAGTGTCAGCATATATGAAAAAAAATCAACACATACTTCTTTCCAATGGCAAACGCAACAATAGTGGAGTAATTCCTTGTGAAGAAATACTTCTTTCCAGGTTGTAAATTCCAATCCCCTTTTTCAAAAATTTGCTCATATCCCGCAACTTTCAGTCGCCTCTTCGCTTCGTCTACAGATCAACACAACAAACACACACCGGTTCTCAATATAAAAGATCGAATTAGTTTCACTACATCTCAAGCGATAACGATTGACTTCGAAATAGAGAAAATCATCGATAAATACGGGTTTTATTGGGGGTTACAATTGGTTATCTTTTCTTTTCCCTTTTTTTTTCTCGTTTATGAAACAAGAAATAGAGAGAGGAAGTTACCGACGGCGTGGAAGGCTGTCGGAGAAGCGTTTAAGAAGTCGATGAGATCGTTGACGACTGAGCTTTCTGCCTTTGCCATTGATTTGATCGCAGGGTCTTCCTGGGAGCCTCGGTCTGGGTGAATTGGAATCTTTGCAATTTGCAGAACTGACAAAACACTCGGACCTCAGTTTTCTACGTTTCTTTCACTCGACCGATAAATTTTGGTTTTGATCTTAGGCCGTAAAATGTAAATAAAAGTATAAAACAAGGGTGTTGTATATATATATATATATATATATATATATATATATATATATATATATATATATATATATATATATATATATATATATATATATATATATATATATATATATATATATATATATTATTAAAGGGGTTGGTTAAAAAGATATTTTATTTTACTATTTAGACAACTTTATTTAATTTTTGAAATACTTTTATCGGTTGAAATTACATTGTTTTCCGAAAAAACTGATTACAAGTAGTTGATTATAGGTTGACGTTTTATAAAAGGTGTCTAAGGGATGTCTTATTAGCAGCACCCATTATTAAAAGAGTTTTTGCTATAAAACTATAAAAGTTCCATAATTTAACACCTAGTTCCCAACATTTGTTTTATTACTTATTTGTCATTAAAAGTTTAGTAACACCTCATTAAATGCTCCTTAGCCGGTTAACAAAGTTGCTAGTCACCAAAGACATTTACCGAGAGGTGAAACGTGAAAATAAGGGTTTTGAAGTATTTCTCTTGTGACATACCGAGAGCTAAAGGTAAGGGTTTTGAAAGGGGTGTTTGGTTTTGCTTTTAAAATAATTTTTGGACTTTTAATTTTTTTAAAAAGTTAAATAAAATCCAAAAGATATGTGGCAAAATAGAAAAGTCATTTTAAATTAACTTTTAGTCATGACTAAAAAGAAGCATTTTAAAAAATTATAAAATCCCATCTTTTTGCGACTTTTGGCTTTTATCTCTTAAAAATCTTAAAAGTCAATCCAAACATATTTTAAATACTTTCTTCTAGAAAAAGTTCTTTTTACAAAATGACTTCTAACTTAAAAAAGTAATCCTAAACACACCCGGAGTATTTCTGTTGAATCCGGAACCAAATAACACGTGGTTCCTTATGAAAATGAAACTAAAAAAAATAAAAGAGTAAAAAATACTAGTGATGGCAAGTCGGATCATACACCTTACAATATTTAAACATAAGTTCAATAGTTACATTACAATAAAGTTCTTACAATCGAAACCTACAAAATCTTATATCTTAAAATATATTTATTGTTATATCGTTAATGATACTTTTCTAGCTTCTATAATATTTAAAATCTTATATCTTAAAATATATTTATTGTTATATCGTTATTGATACTTTTCTAGCTTCTATAATATTTTTTCAATATATGATAGTGGTCGGTGGCATGGCCAAATGGTATATGGTGGGATTGATCAATTAGGGCGGCAACAACATGATAAAACGATAATTCATGTGGTGTTTTGATGTCGATCAGTGATCGCGATCTTTGGGTGACATTTGGTGAGCCTTTTTTCATTATTTTTTCTTTTAGTTTTAAATGGATTAAACTATTGCCTTATAAATGAGTTTTAAGTGGATTGACTTGTTGGGCTATTATAACGTAGGCCGGTTAAAAATAATAAGGTAGTTCCCCATTTTTTTTTCATATATACCTTGTATTATTATTAAAAAACATAGGTATGTCGTAGGACCTACCTTCATGCAAGGTAGCTACGACTTTGCTCCGCAAAACCTCCTTTTCGCATGCAAGAAGATAATCGTTGAAGTTCAAGTCTTTGCAATGGCATTCAACATCACGAAATCTTGATTATAAGGTTATATATTTTAACTTTCAATTATAATAGCAATATACTTTTAATAGATAATAGCGACAAAGTACACTTTATATTGTATATCATAAGTCATAACCAATGTTTTAAAAAATCGGTTTTTTAGTTGGACCTTTATGGTGACCAGGCACCGGTTTAACCGGTTCGACCTTTGGGTCAACCGATTTCTATATTTTTCATCTATTTTTCTATTTTATTACATATACATACATATATAAATCATTAGTCTAATGTTTACAAGTTAAAACATTAAAAATACACATAAAAATAAGTTGTAGATCAATCCAAATATATTAAAATAACACATAACCATTAGTTTTAGTATTTTAAATCTATTCATAAACATAAAAAAAAAAAAAAAACTATAATACCAAAACAAAATATAGTTTTAAATGAATACAAACACATCAAAAAACTTTAAAACATTTACAATATGTTTTTATATAGAGAAAAAATCATCAAAGTTTATTATGTAAATAATTTTTTTTCTAAATAGATTTAAAAAAAAATACTTTAAAACATTTACGAACGTAACAAAATTTATTATGCAAATAGTTATTTTCTAGCGTAAATTAATTTTATAAAATACAAGAGTAAATTATAGGTACCACCCGTATTTGACCAAATGCCCAGGTACTAGTCTTGTAGAAAATAATATTTATGGGGGTTTTATGTATACATACATATAAAGGTGGAACCGTTGAAGAAAAGTTGTAAATGCTCCACCCAATCATATTCCAGAGTTGGTAGTCCTCCTCCCCCGACCAAAGCCCAAAGGGTGTTGAGTTATTCTGCCACTAGTCGACGGCGACG